TACTATCCTTGCACAACAGCTTCAATCCCCCAATTAATTGCTACGGATACAGGTAGAGATGATGATTTCAACTTGGCAAAACCTAAAATCCTGTGTTTCACATCAAATTGCACTTCTTCACATACTGCCTCTTCTGTTCTAAAGAGTTGCTGATGGATTCTATTGTTCCTTTCCATCCAAACATGGTGGATTGCAGCACTCCATATTAACTTGATAAGTGTCCAATACAAGGATTTCCTTCGTATCCGCTTTCCCATCCACATTAAAAGCCTTTGCCAAGAATCCATAAATGGAATACCTGCCAAATTGCTCAAAACTTGCCATACCCTTCTTGCGTAATAGCACTTGAAGAAGAGATGTTCAGTAGTCTCTGAGTCATTGTTGCATAGTACACAAGTGTCAGTCAAAGTCGGAGACCATTTCTTTTGCCTGGCTCTTGTTGTTAATCTATCCAGCATAGCCAACCAGCAAATGAAACTATGTTTAGGGATTGATTGAGGGAACCAAACTAATTTGTGCCATGGTACTCTAGCTTGCTTATTTCTTATCCAATGCCATGTTTTTCCTGCTTTGAAAGAACTAGAAGCTGAGGGAATCCACACCATACTATCCTTTTCACCCTCTTTAGGATATAATCTACCACATAGCGCTATTTGAATATCTAGGAGCTGAGGGGAGCGTGCAGGTGGCCATTTCCAATAATTTCCATTAACCACCACAGCAAGCTTGGCATGGGATGGAATGCCTGCATCTTGAATAATCTTTGTACCATAAGTTTCTACCAGTGGACCAGAAGGATGCCAATTATCATGCCACAAATGAGTCTCAGTGCCATCTCCCGGGATATGTTGGATGAGCCCCCTAGCCCGTTGCCTGAGCTTGAATAGTTTCCTCCAACCCCATGATGCATTTGAGGGAATTTTTACAGCCCAGAAACTTCTTCCTTTTAACAAATTAGTGCAAAAAATGCATCTTTAAAAAGGGAAATTCTATCACTTAGAAAAGAAAACAGTGATTTGAGAGAATCTTCAAATAAGGAAATGATAATTAGTCGAAATATGGAAACTAACTTGGAAGAGTCAACAATTGCATTTAGAAATTACAAACAAAAGTTGATTGAAGAGCATGATAAGCTGGTAGATGAATTAAAAAGAAAAATAAGCCATCTTGAATGTTCTCTGAACAGTTTTGTGAAAGGCAAAGGTAAGTTAGATAACAATTTAAGTTCACAAAGATTTCCTCATAATAAAGCTGGACCTTCTTTTAAATTATCTAAGTCTTCCTCATCTAAATATGTTGTTTTTATGAATTGTAATACTTTGCATTCTTATGACATAGTAGAAGCATCAAGTTCTAGAGATAATCATGTTCATTATGGTATCATTTGTCATTATTGTTTAAAAAGGGGACACTATATTTATCAATGCTATACTAGAAAGAATTTCTTTAAGATGAATTTAAAGTGGGTTCCTAAGAAAATTTCTACTTGTTCGACTAACTTAAATGGACCCAAGAAAGTTTGGGTACCAAAATCAAGTGCTTAAGTTGTGTTTTCAAGGAAGCTTGAAGGAAAATTTGAAGAAAGAAAAATTATCTGGACATATGACGAGACAAATCACAATTCTTGAACCTTGAGGCAATGGAAGGAGGAACGGTGATTTTTGGTGACAATGCAAAAGGTCACATCAAAGGTATTGGCAAAGTAGGTAAGAATTTTGGTTTAGTTATAGAAAATGTTTGACTTTGATGCTATCTTGGTATTATCTTTTGTCTACTGCATTTTGCTGATTTGTATGTTTCTTTTTGCTAATGACAAAAAGGGGGAGAGGAACTTAAATGAAAATTATCTTTATTACTTGTTTGTGCAATTCCTGTTGAAACTTGAAAGCATATTTTGAGAGGGAGCTTACACTTATTATCTTTATTATTTTAAGGCATAGTTTTGTCATCATCAAAAAGGGGGAGATTGTTAGGTTCTCTTTGTATTTTTATGATGATTTAAAACCATGATTCAAAAGAGTTTAATCTATTTTTGTGCTAAGTGTGCAGGAAAGTTAATTCAAGGATTTTAATCTTTCTCCACGATTAGAATTGATTCAGTTTAATCTATTTCTGTGCTAAGAGCTTACACTTATTATTTTTGTTATTTTAAGGCATGGTTTTGTCATCATCAAAAAGGGGGAGATTGTTAGGTTCTCTTTGTATTTTTATGATGATTTAAAACCATAATTCAAAAGAGTTTAATCTATTTTTGTGCTAAGTGTGCAGGAAAGTTAATTCAAGGATTCTAATCTTTCCCCACGATTAGAATTGATTCATGTTCCCCTTATTCAGAGTTCTGGGTTTGAATCAATTTAATTTGATTCAATTTAATCTGATTCAAACCAATCTCAAACTTCTTTTTTCTGAAAATTGTTCGAACCATTATTTCTGGCTTCAAAGCAAAAATTCTGAAAGGTTAAATTTTGACAGCTCAACTATCTGTTTATTCTTATTCTTAATGAGCCTTGGGGGAACCAATTGTCTGAGCACTTTTCAAAGTCAAGTCAGAGTTAGTAGAATAAGGTGTAATCTAATTGGAGCATTAGTGAGGTGGCTTTGAAGGGTTAAATGGAATTTAATTGCAAGGCTCCAAACCTACTATTAATAAGATCATAAAATCATATCTGGAAATGAATGAAGAAGAACGAACTGCTCCAGTGATACAGAAAAACAGAGTTTGTTTTTGAAACTGTTTTGGATCTTCTTCTTCTTCTTCTTGTGAGCTTTCGGGTTAATTGTCTTACAAGGGTTTTGTATTCTTCTTGGATTAGGATAATCCTTGAAAGGGTTGAGTGAGTTGAGATTCACTTGTGAGGGTTTAATCTTGCACCCGCAAGCAAGAGTTTGTTCCGATTTAATCTTGTACCCGTAAGCAAGAGATTTCTAGTGGATTGAACTCTCGAGCAAAGAGGCTTGGGGAGTGGACGTACTCTGGGTTGGAGGAACCACTATAAATCACGGCTTGATATTCTCTTCCCTCTCTTTTATTTTTCTGCATTATATTACTCTTTGTTTATTCTGCACAACAACTTATAAATTGCAAACTTGATTTAAGTTTTTGAAAGAAAAAGAAACAAGTTTTTAAGTTTAAATTGATAAGACCCAATTCACCCCTCTTGGGTAGCTAGCTGGGATTACATTCTATGTCTCCTAGATAAAACAACACTGATCAATAAAATTGAATAGAACCTGCCAGAAGCAATCGTTAGAGCAAATAATGGATTTCTAGATAAAGGCAATGATAATTATAGTTGAACTAGACTTCATACTCATTGTTTGAATTACTATCTAGCTTTCTATGCCGGACATTGACAGTTTTCTTCCTGATAGATATATGAAAATCTGAAATACTAAAACAATTTATGCTTTTGAAGGATGAAAGCAACATAAAAACTGTATTCCCATCATCTGCAGCACCGTCTCAAAAAGTCTCACTACACCTCCACTGATATTCCCACCACCATCGGTATGCATGTCTCATCTCATCATCAACTGTTTCCTTTGATGGTTGAATGTTATGATGTAATAATCTTCTTTTTCTTTCATTCATTTATTTGTAAAGAATTTCAACCCGATTGGATGTTAAAAATCCTATCTTTTCTTTCTTTTAGCTTGTTATGCTACCCTAAAAATGGGATTTGGCTAATGTTGGTGATTCAATCCAGTGCAGAAATCATTATCATTACTTGAGAATTAATTTTGACATTGAATCCTGATTGATTGTCATACAGAGCGCATCATGTACCCTGACATCCCCATTGCACTGAGGATGTCAGGCCACCTTCTATTAGGTGTTGTACGGATATAAAATTGAATAGAACCTGCCAGAAGCAATCGTTAGAGCAAATAATGGATTTCTAGATTAAGGCAATGATAATTATAGTTGAACTAGACTTCATACTCATTGTTTGAATTACTATCTAGCTTTCGATGCTGGACATTGACAGTTTTCTTCCTGATAGATATATGAAAATCTGAAATACTAAAACAATTTATGCTTTTGAAGGATGAAAGCAACATAAAAACTGTATAGCAGAGCACTTCTTATGACAACAATCTAATTCCTTTACTGCTCTAATTTCCCTAACCAAACATGATAAAGGTTTGAGAGTCCTGTCTCTGGTGGCCAACCGTTTAGAGATGTCAACAATATCCATTACAAGATTTTCATCTCTCTCACCACTCATCAGAGCATTACCAAAATATTAACACACATGCATAGCATACCAGACTGAAAAGAGAAGTCATCAGAAAGACAATAGAGTATACAACAGACCCAAAACTTTGGATCAATATTTTGAGCTAGTGTATGTGCAAGAATTTGAGTCTGCTCTATTGTAGCGAAGTTCAAAATGATATGCTTGTTTTTCTTCGGGTCCCAAAATGAATGCAATTGCGACCATATATTTATGCCTTGCATTGATACTTTGTTCCAATAATGTTGCATTTACTATGCACATATCTACTGAAGATCAAAAGATTTGTATTTCTGACAACCAAAAGCTCCTTTCTTGTTCCTTTTAGCAACTTGTAGTTAACTTCATTCTGTAAATAGAAAACACAGCTTAGCATATGAGCCTAAATTTGTAGATAAAAAGGTTGATCAAGTAGCAATAGCTAAGTAACAAGATGTTATTATTTACAACAATAAAACAAAGCTTGCATAAATTGGCCCTTAGAGTATTACCAATATGCAATAAACATAAAAGCCAGTCCACCAGAATAAATATAATAACCTTATATCTGGGCCTTAGATAGAGTTGCAGTCAACTTCAAAGTGATATCTTCATAAGCTTTTTCTTCTTGTACATCAATAACTCCATAACTCTTCAAAACCTGTATTTGGTAAATGAATATCAGGAAGGCATTATATTACAATAAAGTTGAAACAGGTTTCTCGATACTTTTAAAAATAGGAAACATTTATGGGAACCCTATGTTTGAAAGAATTAACAGATGTTCATCCAAATGAAGCAATCATATATTAGAGGGTTGAGTTGAAACATACCAATGTCTCATAAAACATTCGAGCACATAATTTTCTTGTTTTTCCTTCTAAGATCTTATTCAAACTGAGATCTCCAGATGAGTTTTCTGAGATAGCAGTGATAGGTGACTGCTTCAAATATTGAGCCACTGCTCTGTATAGAAGAAATGCAGAATATATAATAGGGGCCACTCAAGGCATATACCCTTAAGAACAAAGTTTCTTTCATTCAAGAAGTACCTGGTTCTCACAGACAAGGAATCTACTCCATGACTTGCTTGGAACTCTGCATCAGGTGTACAAAAAGTTATTTTCATGCATATGAACTGGAAAAAAAAATTATAAAATGTATTCACGTACCAGTTGGGGAATTCTTATCATCTTCAAGAAAGTAAAGATCCTACAATACAACTCAATGGAATTAAATGCACAATCTAAAATGATGATACATGAGATCCTTGAAAACAAAGGCACATCATTATATCATTTCAAAGGCAGCAAGATATTGAAGCTTACATTTGCTTCTGCAGAACGCAGCATCTCAGGAATATCTGAAAGACCCATGCTTCCCAGAACCAGTCCCTTATCCAAGAATGCCCTCGGTGTTTCAAACTCAGAGCCATGATTTCCAGTGGATCCTGCAGCATCTGGTGTTGGAAGTACCCGAGGTGTTGTCTCTGATCTTAAACTGTTAATTGATAATGGAGATGAATCATCCCTTGCAGAACATATTGGTCTCAATGGGGAGGGCTCAAATTCATATAAAAGATTGTTGTAAGCACTGCCTTGATCATCTGAAAGATATTCAGTTTCCCTGTCAATTTCAGGCACTGCAGCTTCAGGTCTTCCAGCCCTATGCTATGGGCTAGCTTCAGTTGCAGTTGCAGTTGCAGTAGCACGAATCTGCAAATCCCTGGCCTTTGTGCTTGGAGCAGGAGATTGTAAAATCCGAGGACTTGAAACAGCTCCCTGTAGGACAGCTAAATTGGGTTTTGCAAAAGTGTAGTCCCTCTCAAGCATTTCAGATATATCAACACACAACCCTGCAAGTACACAGTATCCATGTTCTCATCAAACCTATTCCTTAAACCTTGAAGCCAAGATGCAAAAAAATCTGAAGATGAAGGACCATCTTACCTGTTACTGAAGCCCCATGAAATAATTGTCCCTTTCTGAGAATGCTATTTGATTTCCATACAGCCAAAGCAGAGCCACATACATTCATTCTCTTCCGTACTAGATCACTAGAATCTTCAAGTGCCTTCTTCATAGACCTATACATTTTCCTATAAATCAACATTTGGCTTCAAAAAACAAGAATGCCATACATATCATCCTGGCAGACATACCTATTAGACAACACTAGTTCAGTATCGAAGAACCTCCCCTGTGTTCTCTGTCTCTTTCTTGGCTGCTGTACTGGTGGAGAGGGTTGAATGGCAAGTTGAGGTGATTTATGTCCTAGACAAAGAAACAATAAAAGCCTGAAAACTTTATTCAATAGCAATAGGTAAGCATATTGAGGCAGAAATAACATTTCCATCCAACAATTAGACTAGAACCAAGAACCCACCAGACAAATTCCCAGGAGACTCTCGAAAAGCAGCAGACATTGGTGGCCCAGAGTGGTCATGAAATGGTATAGACTCTGCTCCAGAAGTTGACATACTCCTTAGAATTGGAGTATGAATCTCCTTATCATCCCAAATTCGTTCCAAGGATACTCTCATTTCACTTGCATCATTTCTCTGCTCTGGATGCCCTAGAGGTAGGCATTCATTGCTAATATAAGGGACTGTATCCCACCTAACTTCAATTTCTGCAAAATCTTGAGTGACACTGTCATCATGAATGATATTAGGTGCTTCTGTCTCATTGCCAGGATGACTATTGTAGAAATCCATAGTTGGTCTAAGTACTTCTGTCTGGCTACTTGGACCTATACCCCCAAAAACCATACTTGTGCCAGGCAGTGTTGTCTCATTAGCTGGACCAGGATCTTGAAAAGCTACTGCTGCATTTAGTTCTTTGTTTTGGAGATTACCACCAATGGGAGATTGAAGAATGACACTGAAATTGTTAGAGGAAAAACAAAATGAAATCATCATAAGCATGCTTCCATCTAAAATTTCCTTTCTCAAAGATTCAAAATAGAGTTTTCAAATAAAATAAGGAACATACTCCTCATCCATTAGTCGGACTCCTGATTCAGGAGCTGCTTCTGAATGCAATACATCCATCATATCCTACATATAACAGATGTTTCCATAGGTGAAATTGCAATTCACATAGCCAAAAACAAATAATTGATCAACACGAAGCAAATGAAGACTCCAATTTTAACGGATAGAAAAGAATTGACTAACCTCATCAAAAGTTATGGCAATACAAGGATTTGCTCCAGTAGGAATTTGGTCTGCAAGATGATAGAAGAAGCCCACCTTGGAGCAGTTACAATTTGAATATATCAATAAACAGGCATACAAAAGAAAGGCAAATAGTAGCTCATTTCTAACCTGGTAGTCTGATATCTTCCTCATTCCTGATATGATTATCTGGGCTCCTGAGTAGCAAAATTTAATGCAATCTTAAAATGCATGCAGAATAAGAGGAAGGTAGCAGATAAAATAAAGACTTAAGGGAAAAAGCCCACCCCTCAGTATAGTATGTATCATCATCATCAAGTTCCAAAGCATCAAGGTTAAATGTCTCGGGCAGAGTAATAGCATGAACTGGAGCTTGGTTTTCATTATCCGGCAAATCCACCTTTTTGGCATCAAAGACCTTACTCAAACCAACAAGGATGATATGTTGTCAGTCAGGGAAGAGATAATCAACCTTCTTGGAATATATCCGTACAACACCTAATAGAAGGTGGTCTGACATCCTCAGTGCAATGGGGATGTCTGGGTACATGATGCGCTCTGTATGACAATCAGCAAGATTCAATGTCAAAATTAATTCTCAAGTAATGATGATGATTTTTGCACCGGATTGGATCACCAACATGCCATCATTCTCAAATCTCAACTTCATTAACCAAATCCGATTTTTAGGGTAGCATAACTAGCTAAAAGTTTTTTTTTCCTTTTAAGCCTAATTCAAAGAAAGATGGGATTTTTTTTTTTAACCATGAAGTATTTCCATTTCGCCAGTTGAAATTAAAAGAGGAATAGCATCCAATCGGGTTGAAATTCTTTACAAATAAATAAATGAAGAGAAAGAAGATTATTACATCATAACATTCAACCACCAAAGGAAAGAGTTGATGTTGAGATGAGACATACATACCGACGGTGGAGCGAATATCAGCGGAGGTGCAGTAAGACTTTTTGAGATGGTGCTGCTGCAGATGATGAGCAGCGCACCAGACGCTGTAGAGTGGACCCTTCCGAGCCAAGAACGTCTGCGAGTAAAACATCCTGCTGCTTCTATCTTCTCCAGTTCACTTCGAGTGGCCAAGAGCAAACAAATTGTGAGTTTTATTAGCTTCCGAGCTAAGAAGGTCTGCGAATAAAACATCCTGCTGCTTCTATATATCTTCTCCAGTTCACTTCGAGTTTAGATTTTGGAGTTTTTTTGTTTTTGTTTTTTTTTTTTTTTTGGTGGAAAGGGTTTGGAGTTTGGACATACACAAACGATGTCGATTGTTGGGAAGGAGGAAGCGCATGTGCGGGAAACAAGGCAAAAACTCTTTTTAAGCCCCTAAACTTTTTCAACAGCAAGTGATAAGGCCCTGAACTAAAAAAGTGGCAAATTAGCCCTCCAACCCCACGGCGGGTGCAAATCAACCCTTCTGCTAATTGACTTCGTGATGTCATTTGTCATCGGCTTCCGTGACATTGCACCTACACGCCTTTGCGTGTTTTTTGTTTTTTAACCTTTACTTCATTTGTTTTTAATCTTTACTTCATTTGTTTTTAATAATAATATATTTTTTAATAAATTAATTTTTTAAATTAATTAATTAATAT